AATTGTAAGTCAATGTATATAATGCATATTTTGCATTTCAGTTACTTTGTGCTTTAAGGTACGAGTTTGAGAAGTAAAGCTACGAATATAGGTACGCAATTTAAATCTCAAAAAATTGTTTCATTTCTATTAGGTCAATGTCTAAGACTTGGATTTAGATTTTTGACTTTAAAATTTTATGTTATTATAAAGCTAATTACTTTTGCTGACCAAAAATAACTTGTAAATCTTTTGATAGCAATAGTGCCTTGTTAAAGAACATTCAGTATGGTGACCGGATACCTATTCCGATAGTCTAGAAACGTTCTATACACTTATATTCTGTAATAAACAAGTTCATTATGATATCACGTAAGATACGAGTCTATTGTAATTTTGTAGTAAAGATAAGTCTCATGCTTTGGGTAGGTACCACCTTTTTTAAGGAAAAAGCGTGCATTTGACCTCCATCTCACTGGAAAGTGACGATGAGGTTGAACCTTTTCCTTATGGATGTGTTACAGATACACAGATAATGATGTCGTAACTTAATTGGTACGAGTCTGAGATTAACGTGGCTTTAGTCATAGTTATAAAAAAAACTAATATGCAAATGCACGTGCCATATATATATTCATACCTACACGCTAGTACGTATACGCAATTTTGTTCAGTCGGAATGCATTTATACCGCTGAATAAATTTTGATATTGAGATAGATGGGATTTCGGTTACTTTTTGTCACAAAAATAAATCCTAAAGGGGGTAAAATAGGAATGAAAGTATGTATCGAGAACTAATAAAGCTACGAAAATTAATATAGTTCAGTAGGCTACTCGAACTACTTCTTCTACGCAGACGAAGTCCCGGGCACCAGCTAGTATTTTGTAATTATTAAACAAACAATATATTTTGGACGATTTGTAAGCGAGTAGTTGTATGTCCGTTCTCTGTGTTTAGTTCCATTCAAAAACTTATATATGAATCAAAGACTATCGAAAAGCTTTATGTAGCAGAAAAACAGCACGTTTAAATGAGATCTTGTAAAATGTTACATGGACGAGTGGAGCTCCTAACAAACGTGCAGTTTACTTACAAAATAATAGCGTCAACACTGCACCGGATACTCTAACCATCATAATCTAGTAAATAATTTTTTTTTTTTAGATCTTATTAAAATGCACAAATATTTACCTAAATTGAACGCAGAGAGGTTTTAAATACATTACACGTATAATAAATTAAATTTTTCTTAAATTACAAACTACATACCTGCATTGTGTTATTTACATAAACGACTAAAATCACAAAAAAAATTCGAGCTAAACTTCCGACTGACAGGGAGCAACTGACCAAAAATTATGTCATCCGGGAACGAAACGTTCCCCCACCGAGTTCTTCATTGGATGGAGGGCTCCTTAACGACCTATTAAACAGTTAGGACGAATTTCGATAACCCGTTCCCACGCTCATAAAAGTCCATTACTAAATTTATTGATAGAATATTTTTATGATGACAATCGTAGGTAAGGATTTGGAATGTTGAGTAGGTAAGATTTGAAAACCACGTTTTACAAAATGGTATTTAATTAGACTAATTATCGCAATTTTGTTCACAATTTATTGTGAATATGAACTGAATTCCTTGAATCATATTGCAGTGTGATTTCATGTATTTAGGATGTTTAGAAAAAAAATGTAAATTAGAGATATGTAATGTCCAAATAATTACGTAAACCTTGGTAAATGACAGAGGTATATTAAATTACAATCAAATCAAGTTATTAAGCTCTATGTAGGTCGTTTCAAATGAGACTCACGATCACAGAAATCTAAAATTTATTTAGATTTCTGTGCTCACGGCAAAGAAAAGGAAAAATAACACGCAGAGTCTAAAAAGAATAAAAGAAAGACAATTTAAAAATTTGCGCGGTTATACTATCAAATCAGGATTACCCATAGAAAAAATATATTCTAAATTTCAAGAGGCTTGTTCCATTCCAACAAAATGATTCGATTTATATTGCTGTCCTGATCTAATGTATGAAAAATAGCATGCTATCTTGCTGTCAATTAAGTAAGGAACACATGAAAAGTAAACATTTCGTCACAATAGGAATCGTAGATTATATCCGCTTGGGGAGAAAGAAGAGGAATTTGGTTACAAATTGCCGTATTCATTAGATTCTATTGAAATAAAACGTGAAAAATATTGTGAAATTGACTGTGTTCTCAATCAGTGTGTTAACATGTGTTATTTCGTGGTATATAATACAAAGTAACTCATTAATTAACCACTTGTCAGTCAATCATATGTTCGTAATTAGCGGTGACAGTGTTTGTTTACTAATGACAATTTCAGTTAAAAAGTTATTATTCTTCGGCTTCTCATGATGAACGTCCCGGAAACTGCTGGGGAACCTTCGTGCAAACGACAAGAAAATGGCGACGCATCGACTGGTTCTGAGCGCCCACTCAAGAAAGCTCGTTTTGCTTGGCAAGTTAAAGGAAAAGGGAAATATCATTTAAAAAATGACTCTCCTGGTTCCAAAAATTCGTTTACGGCTCCCGAAGAGCCTGAAGCACCAGGGCCTTCGCAAAGTGAAAGTAACACCCACAATTTAGTAGGTAACACAGAGCAGAACTTGGAAATTTTAGGGGATTACTTATTGAAGCAGGACTTCAATACTTTAGACTCTGTGATCACCGACTCTGATAAGTCACTGTTGAAACCAAGTACAAGTATATCATCTGAGAAGTTGGACTATCCAAGATATGTTAGTTCCTTTGACAATAATGGTTCTAGAGCTAGTAGTAGAGCTGAAGCTGTAGCTATACCAATGTGTTTCTTACCACAGAGCTACTCATACACTGAAGAACAATGCATAGCACGATGGCAGGCTAGACAAGTAAGCAAAATATCTTAAAAATTTAATTGTTAATATAGCGTTGAATAATAATTCAATGTCTTTGAACAGCGCTGTTAGCTTTTGGCAAACTTATAGTAAAGGCAAATATCAATAGTACCATGATTTGAAACTAGTAAAAACTAATAGAACCATAAATAATGCAATTTTTTACTTTTTATTTTTCAAACACAAATCACATTTTTTCTTAAGTACAAATATGAATTATTCAGCAATCATCTTGCACAAATTTAATTTTTAGCCTATTGAAAAACATCACTATGAACAACTATTTACAACAAGGTAAACATCTACTTTAATTTAATTCTCAGATGGCGAAAGGATTTGTGGACAACACTATAAACCGTGTCCTAGATTCTTGGATGGTAGCCCCTCTACCAGCTGACATTGGGAACAGATTCCTAGCTCTAGATGTAGCAGAGTTCATCAATAACTTACCAGGAGACAATAGTATAGAGAATGAAGGAATTTTAATGGCTATTTCTGCTCACGGTCTTCAAAACAACTCGACATCAAGCAGCGATGACCACAGTCGTACGGAGGAACAGTCAAGTACAAAAGATAACTATCCTTCTAGATCAAGTAGTCCTCTACCATTTGAAGATGAGCTTAAGAACAGTAATAATAAAGAGGATAATTCACACAATATGAATGACTTGATGTCATGGTCATGCGAAAATGATGATGCAAATAATAGTAACACAACTTTTGATCCCGATTCAAGTTCATCATATCTGAATTATACAGATGAAGATCTTGTCAATGACTATACTAGTCATTATGATTTTGTGGATGCTGCCGTATCTTTCGCTATACAGAACAAAGGATTAACTTCATTTGGAACTGAATATGGTTAATATTCATTTTGTGTTTTTGTTTTACAGAAGCACAATTATTTGTAATAATGAGGGTGGTATTATTACCATAGTATTTGTTACATAAATATTTCTAATGCATTCTGGTGTAAGAAAATACTCTCTCATTGTGCAACCACTTACTTAACAATTGAACATACCTAACTATTTGTAAATAGGAAATAGATGCATGTATTGTGACATATTATGTGATATTATAAACTGAATTTCATTGAAAAAAGTATTAACTTTTGTAAAATTCCATCAAAAAGTACAAAGTTTCAATGTTGTTGAAACATATCAAGTGACTGAGCTTGGGCACATTTTTTGTTTTTTTTTTACTTTTTTTAGATCTAATTGAATTTTACAATCCTATGATTACTGTATGCAATGCATATTTTTGTTAAATTAAGAAATGTATCAACTTATGTTAGAATTTAATATCTATAGATATAAATTTTAGCTGTTTTTAGCTTATTGTAATGAAATCTGTGTATTAACTTCTGTAACAAACATAGCATAGTTCATGCGAGTGTATGCCATACTGACTCTACTGTCAATAAAATGATACTCAAATTATATTTTTGATTATTACTTTAAGCTTAAGGCTATTATCACACTACACGGCGCCCCGCGACGGAGCGTGGAGCTGCGTTTTTTAACGTTGTACTGAAGTACCTCAGTTTGTATGGAAAACACGCGCCGTCGAACACACTGACAACGCTTCTTCGCGGGAGCGCGGCGCGCGCGCTTTTACCGCGTCCCCGCGGCGAACCGCAGCCAGGGTATGGCACACTACGCCCCGCACTACCGCGTAGATTTTTAAGCCTTAAGACATATTTTCTTAAATCTTTGTAATGAAGTTGAAATTATCCATTTATCGATCTGGTTCGCACAAATGGATGTATCCAATATCTTCGGTGTCTTTTTATTTGAGTAAACAAAAACCAAATAGACAGTATAACTGCAGCGTCCTGGTTGAGTTCTGTATTATTAACTATTCTTGTCAAAGGATCTCGGCTACATTTACAATCACTATGGCGTTAGACTGCGAAGCGAGTACTTTAAGTGACGCGGGGCCGGTATATCGCTGCCCCCTCGCAGATTAAACCGGGCGTTGACGCAGATCTGCGTCTCCGCCACCGCGCGCGTGATTCCGCATCTCGTGTTCTGTCACGGGTCGCGGTGCAGTGTGTTAATCGCCTTAGGTATTCGACACACGTACGTATATCGACCCCTCCTGCGTAAAGCATCGTATGTCGAAATTGCCAAGTTTACAGGGGAGCGTTTTAAAGTTTTGAATTAACTGAAATGAGCATGACACGTCACTAATAAATTGTAAAATGATAAAATAAATTGTGTTGTTCATTTAACCGATATCTAGGATTTTATAATACTTTATGTGAGTAACGAGCTCTGCCGAATAAAACTGTATTATGCTCATTTCAGTGAATTCAAAACTTTAAAACGCTCCCCTGTAAACTTGGTAATTTCGACACCCGATACTTTACGTAGGAGAGGTCGAATATAGTTGTGTCTAATACATTAATGTTGCAAGCTCCATGCTGTTCTATCGCTTTAGACACGGTACATTTTGCGCAATATATACTCAAAAAGCCAAGAACTAGCACCTATCTACTCTTGAAAAACTAAGTTGAGTTGAGGCGATGATACAGTAATGTTAAGACACCTTTCGACGCTAACCGAGGGTTTGTCATTATAAAAAGCACGATTAGTATGAGAACACAATGGCAACACTGAACGTAACCTTTAGGCACGGAATAGAAGCGAACCGAACCGATTTAGATGATTCTTTTTTGTTAGAAAGAGGGTACAGTACCTCAGTTTTGATCCAATTTCAATTTGAAGAAAATATTCTATACGGGCGGCAAACTAGGGGACGAATCCCGTGTCACGCTTGCCAGTAACCGGCTTCAATAAAACTTTGCAAATAGATATAATTCCACGATCTTTTGAGGTCGGTTTCTTTAGTACTCTGTACAGAGACTATTTCGTAACCATAGCATATTGAACTTTACGTCCACTGTGAGACGTTTGAGACGTCCAGAGAATTCTCGCGCAATTTAGGGAATTCCCGCAACTACCGTATCGTATCCACTAGTTTGTTATTACCACGTAGTAGCCACGGTTAGGCATTAGATGCTGGGGGTCTACTCTCAATCTCCGTCCGAAACAATTACTGCCAAATAGGCAATAATTGACCAAATGAAAAGACGCGTGACGCGAATGAAGCTTCATACTTGATACTTGTCTTTTAATTTTGTCGAATATTAATTTGACAGTAATTGTTTCGGACGGAGATCGAGAGTAGACCCCCTGGTTCGTCGTGTCCAGTCAGATCGAGGGTATTTACGTGACGTAATTTGGAAAGCTCTCATCCTCCATAATTCCACTATAGATGTCCACGGATTTACAACATGTTGCTCTTTGGGTATTCCTAGTCAGGAGTGTAATATAGTACAGTGTAGACATTGTCATGAATAAAATATTAATTAATTTGAGCACACAACAATATAATCAATTCGAAACAAATTAAAACTAAGCCTATGTATAAAGTAGTAAATGTAGACGTATGGATGAGTAGGTATATTAAAATATAAATAAAATTACTTGATAACAATTTTATTATTGCTTGTTATTATTCACATAATACAAAATAAACTATGCACAATTATAAGACCACTGATGTCATTCAATTAATTACATAAAATATTCTCAAATACAACTTGTTTCACAACAGTTGTGTTGCAGGATGTAACACATTACAAGTAACATTATGGGCGAATATTTGTTGGCGAACGTATTAGCCTAGCCTTAGAAAGAAGGAAAGGAGAACTTTCGCCAGAACGCATGCCTTTAAATACTATGAAGGCAGGTGTGGGTGTACAAGTACGTAACTGATTCGAGAAGAGAGGTTATTTATTGCTGTCGCTTTAAAGCATGTCATTAACATTAAACTAATTTCCAGTATACTATGTATTATATTCAAGCACTGTCTTTGCACATATGAAGTGCGAAAAACAACATATTCGCCTCACTGAAATCAGAATTATGTACACTAGGCGTTATTTTTTATTACTTTAAAAGGGAAATAATATTTCTACTTGTCAAGTTTAGTTTCAGTTTGTCCTAGATAAAACCTTTCAGCCAGGGTCACTTATAATTTGTTCTAACTGCCCCTGGTCAGTGGAAATGTGTGAAACAGGCAATAACAGTATTTCCTTGTCGCACGTTCCTATGACCTACCCCTATCTATCGGTAATTTCGAGTTGGCGCAGCACGAAGGACCAAAAAAAGCGTACCTTGTCTTAGTCATAAGACTCATCCGTCACTCCGCCCATTTATTTAGAAAGTCATACATGTAAACAAAGTTGCTAACTTGCGAAATGAAAAGCAAGGAGAAATCGCCGACGCATTTTGGATGGCTACTTCAAAATGGATCGACAAAAACTATTATAATGCGCAAGGTGCGCACGCAACCCTTTTCCCCTTTTTCTACTGGCTAATATTTCCGCCATTAAATATGTACTTACAGCAAAATTAATGTACAATAGGCAGTCTCCGTGATTCACTTTACTCTCTTGTGATGATTGCATTTCACGGCATCAAATATTACATTCATGGCCGAAAATCTTACCGTAGAATCTAATTTTATAAGTAACTGTACATTTGTCAGCAATTTCACGTTACTATTTTAAATAATTATTTACACAGATTCTAAATAATAATAATGTAATTTCTCTCTTTGTAGGCGTTATGTTTGACGAAATATTGCTATTTTATTTCTGCTTTTAATTATTACATGGATATTTTGGGATAACACTTCGGAAGGAGAAAGTGTGCATGATACTGAAAAATTTTGGCTATAATACATTATTCGCAAAATTAAAAAAAAACCGTTTTGAGTTATAGTATAATTTTGTTTTGAGTAATAAAAAAAATATGAAAAATATTCTTAGCGAAAGTTGTTCAGCGTCATGAACTTTGTCGAATTCAAAAGTGCCCTTGTACCGATAACCTATCACAAACTCGATTTCTTTTTCCGAAATAACGTTTGTTCGAATTTCCATTACGCTGAAAACCGACGAAACCGTTGATCTTTGAGGATATGTTGGATGTTTATCGCAAAGACGTGATTAGGTACGGTTAGGTTTAAAAGAAAAAACATTTTCCTCTCAAAATTACTTTCGAGGTTGTGAAAATTCGACCAAATGTTATTTCTGGAAAATGTCATTTCGGCCTACTGATAGGTAACCCCTTGTACCCTTTCGTTACCCCTCAATTAGAGGTATGAACATAATTTTATTCTAATTTCTCTTTAAAACAATGTCATGGAATTAAAATAAGTGTTCAAAAATAATTTATGGTAGATAGGTGATTGAATAAAGGTCATAAAAAATATGATCATATAAAAATCGCTTACTACTACAATGTATGCTGTTGCGTTTTATTGCATTTATAGACAAAATTAGGAAAACCAATTGATTTATTTAAACACATTTTGAA